TAAAACCCAATTGAATCCATCCTCCACGCTCTTGAATTTTACTAATATAGTATACCTACCTATCAATTCTTCCATTGCTTCAAGCACTTCATCATTTCACAAAATCACTATACCCCCTGAAAGCCCCCAAGATGGAGCCTCAACCCATCTTATTCCTCTTGCTCTCCACAAACTCCTGATCTACCTTCGATCCAATTCTGTTAATTTGGTCTCGTGTAGCATTACCACATTAGGATCCTCTCTTTTTATTAGGTCTTTTATCACACTTCTTTTCCTTGCACTCCCCAAACCTCTTACATTCCAACTAATTAATTTAATGTTTTCACTTTTTAATCTAAACCCTCTTTTTATTTTTCCTCCATACTTTTGTTGCTTCCATCTATATCCTCTCCCACTAAATTTGATATCACCCTCTACATCAAATATTAGCCTTTCCACTTCTATCTTTTTCTTCTTCCGCTTTTTGTTTTTTTTTCTTCACTCTTTCTATAAAGCTTCTTTGCCTTTTGAATTCCTTTATCTTTTGTATTCTCCCTTAAGGTTGGGTCACTCATTTCTTGCACACCCTTTTGACTTGTCTCTTCATTTTTTGTTTCCAATCCGCAAGAAGCTCACTAATTAAGACCAAAATCCTTTCCACTTCCTCTTCCCTCCCCCTTCTATCTTCTACCTCTCCCTCTTCTAATCCCACTGTCCCATCTCCGCCCTCTCTCCTTAACCAATCAAGTTGGTTAGCTGGTGTACCTGTTTCAGGCAGAGCACACAAATCAGTAGCCAAAACTGTAAGGACCTACTTACTTGGAGACATTGGATGAGGATTGAAGACAATTGTTGGTGGTAAATTCTGTTTGGAGACCAGAAAATCAGAATTGGCCCTTGAAATTTGCATGTGTTGAGTGGGGATGGGATCATTAACAATTCTGGTTGCGCCTAAAACCTTTTCAAGTGCACCCCTCTCTATTTCCTCCATACTCATCTTCAAAGTTTCCTCGTCTCACTTCCTGTGCATCCTATTCTTGCTGGAACACCGGAGGTAGTCTCTCTAAATCAGGGGAAGATGTCATCTGCTCAACTTCGACTGCATGTATTGCCCACCCAAATTCCTTTTTTTCTTTTGTATTGGTTGACTTTTCCTTTTTTTCTCCGAATAACAGCTATTCAGTGTTGAAACTCTGCTTCGTTCATATCAATCTGCATTGTTTGATCTATACTGCCCAAGCTTGAGTATTCACTCAAGTCTGACTCATCCTCGCTAGATCTCACATTCTCCTTTCCTTTACCACCACATCTTTTAAATTTTGGGTTTTGCTTTTTAGGGGAAACCAGAGTTTTCCCTTTACTTTGTACCCAAATCATTGCCGAACATTGTCTCTGGTATTTTCAGTTTCATTTTGTCACTGACCTGATCGAATAGGAAGAAGATGGACCAATATTATCGTCCATCAAAGGGCTTTCCTTCTGACTCACGTGCCCTTTTAAGTTGTCATGTGTTGCTGCCCTTTGAGGCCCAACAATTGGACCCAAATTAAGTTTTAAGTTACCCAACCCCTGTTTTCACTAGCCCATACCCATCTTTCTTATTACCCATCACGTGATAACTTAAAGCGCCACATGATGGGTTAATAGCCTTTGACCCTAATGGCTCAGTTTTGTTCAAATCCGATCCACCAGCTAGCTGACCCACCCCTTCTTTTGAAATTTGAAATTTGGACTGATTCACACGTCTAGGTCCATTTGTCAGCACCTCAGCATAAGACTAGCTGTGTGTCTCATCCCTTTCTTTCCTTGCCTTATAAACCTCTTCCTCTTTTAATTCACCTTTTCCTCTCCCCAGATTTTGCTTTGCCATTTAAGTGTAATTTCCTTTATCCTTTCCTGCATCCACTTTACTTCTTCCACATAGCCACTCTTCTTCTACCTCCTCATCTTCGTCCCTTTTTCCCTTCACCCAAAGCTCAGCTTCAATGGCTGTTACTAGCCAAGCTGAATAAAAGATTCCATCAACCAGTACCTTTGCTGAACGTGGGATATCTTCCGAGTTTACATTACTCAAACATACTACAGCTGAGTGGAGGTCTTAAACAAAAAAACCCTCTAACCATGCTTTACACATAGTAGTTATTGAGACAAAAACATCAGAAATCCATAGGTGAAACGGTGGCCCCAAGATTTGAACAATTACTTTGTCCCTCGTGCGCAGATCCTTAGAGTTATAATGAGGAGTCCATTTTGAGACAGTTACAAAGGTTGACTCCAATTGACAACACATAGCCTCGAGTTCCATTTTCTCTTCTACTGCCTCTAGAAGGGCCTTACACTTTTCAAAGGGGGTTAAAATAACCAAACCGACCCAAACCGACTTAGATATATATTATATATATAATATATTTCAGATATTATATATATATATATTTCAGTTTTATTTCAGAAATATACATATTATATATAAAATTTATGATATATAAAATATCAGTTTTAATCCATCAAATCATTTTTAATTTTTAGGCATTCAGCCTTTGTTTTCTTAGACTTGAATCTTGTACCGTTCATACCGAGAGAATCATTCACAAAACCGACCCAAATCGTTCCAACCCGATTCAAACTGACCAGGTCGGTTTTACTTAGTACTGGGTCGGTTTCAGTTTCATTTCTAGGTAAACCGACCAGGTCGGGTCGGTTGAAAAAACATCAATAAACCGACCCGACCCGACCCGTGAACAACCCTAAGCCAAAGTACAGGGTACTGATCGGGAATTTTCCCTTTTTTAAATGATGAGAGTAAAGAAAGAACATGTTCCACGGGTAAACCCTAGAACCAGCTCCAAAATCACTAAGGCTATAATTAATTTTCACAAAATAAGTTCCGGTTCAAAAAAAACTTGAAACTAACCCCTATAGGGGTAGGTTCCCGGTTCTACCGTTTCAAAACCAAACTTAATTATTCTCGCCCCTAATTGCAATTATTAAGGGAGGTTTCAATAACCATAAACTACACGGGAGGTTTCAGAAATCTAACCAAAATCAAAATAAAAGAATAATTTTGTGCTTGAATTGATGTTGACGTGTTTGTATTCTATTGGGGACAGCAAGATGAATCGAGATGAATTCACTTTTGATATAACAGTTCTCCAGGTTAAAACAGAAAAATCATAGTCATCAAATTTATTGCAGTGGTAGTCACATCATCTTATTCAAGGTGGGCTATGGCAACAAATCAAAGGCTTATGATTTACTTGTTTCAGCGTATGGCTATGATACTCTCGTAGCAAATGTGGGTTGATTCCAGATTGGGTCTTCGGAGTGAGTCTAAATTATTTGCTCCTTACAAATAGCTCATGACACCAATCTCACACGTGAGGAGCACATTTGGACTCTTGAAAGTAGACTTGTTAATGGGCCACGTAGCCCAACAGGCTGACCCGGCCCAACCTATTTTAAGTTGGGTTTGAACATTACTTTAGGCTCATGGGCTCGGGCCTAAAACACTGGATTCAACCTTTTTTAGGTCAGGTTTGGGCTTTCTCAAAAAAGCCCAGTCTGAGCTCGATCACAACTTGATAATATATATTATATAATAAAAAACATATTTATTTAATAAAAATATATATACAATATTGTTTCTTTATTTATCTTATCATTTTCAAATAATAATAAGATCATTTATTATTTTTAAGTTTTGAGGACTTTTAATATAAACAAAACTATTTTTTTTCTATTGAACAAAAATAAAAAATATGTTTCTAAATTCTTGGCTGGGTTCGGACTTAGGTTTCAAACTTTATATGAGGGTCGGGCTTAGGGTCAAGACCTAGGCCTGATTGAACTCGGCTCGGTCTATGAATAAGTATACCTGAAAGTTAGACCTGGCAAAAAGTTAGACCCAACCCGCTAATCCGACCCAACACAACCCGAAAAAATAGGCTTAGGGTCTCATATTGAACTACTTGAATTTGAGAATGACTTGAGATGACCCAACTCGAAAAAAGCTGGGTTGAGTTGGATTGGGTCATGGGTCAACCTGTTGGCCCAGTTGACCCGATTTTTAGGTCTAATTAGGACTATTTATGCATTGTTAGAAGTTTCCATTATTTAATTTTTACCATTTAGTATTTATTCTTTATTGTTTACTCATTGAATTGTTAAATGTTCAAATTTTTTTATTTTATATTTGGAATTTTAAGACTAACTCCTTTAATTTTGACATTTTTTATGTATTTATTCTTTATTTTTTTTTAAATTTTAACTATTTATTGGGATGATCCAAATTGACCCATGAACCAACCTTAACCTGAAACTCAACCCGAACCGAACCGACTTAGTTCATAGTTCAAACATGAAGTTCCAAAGCCCATTAGGCCACCTAGCTTTTGAATGGTTGCAAGAAACTTTGGATTAGTGAATAGTGATTAATGAACAACTTTTATGATTAATTTTTCATTTAAATTTTATCATAGGAGATGGCTGAAATGATGTTCAATTTATGACTGTTTTTAAAATTAGCAAGCTTTTATCACAGGGATGAACTTAGAACCAAAACCGACCCAACCCAATTCAAACCGACCAGGTCAGTTTTGCTTAACACTAGGTCGATTTTGATTTCTATATCAGGTAATCCGATCAGATCGGGTCAGTTAAAAAAACCGCAATAAACCGATCCAACCCGACACGTTAACAGCCCTATAATGCTAGGTTTAGTGAAAGTGGAATTTTCCGTTGTCCTGCTTTACCTCTCAGCATTGGGACTTGGGGACACGGAATCGTCATAGTTGATGCCGAAAAATGCCCGCTAACGATGAAGTCACGATTCCATGAACATTGCGTCAATGAGGCTGCGTCTGTAGGTGGGCACCACTTTCGGGCTTATTCCAATCGGACGTCGAGGACTTCATTTGCCTGTTTGATATTAGATTGAGTGTAGATGTACGACGATATTCGAAACAAGCAAATCAAATCCGACCGAACCGACCAACCACCATCAAGGGGCAAAGTCCGGTTCCTTACGTACGTATATTGGCTAAAACTCGGTCGGCGACGAGTTGGCGGGGATCACGTGGGAGCCACGACCTACGGCTACGGGGATTTCTTCGAACGGCAGAAGACAACGGCGCTGACGCCGGCTGAGCGATTCGCATGCTTTTCTAGTCCTAATTATACTTCTCGTATCTCTTGAACAACTGCAGACAGCCGGACTCCTTGTCATATGGTCGTGCCACCGCGACGTTCTTCTCGATCGGACTTCTTACTGAACTCCGATATCTGATTGTCTGGGTCGGAGAAGATGGAGGGCGCCGGGAGCTGGGACGTACTCGAATGGACTAAAGTCGAGGTTTTGTGTTTCTAGGGTTTTTAGAAGTTAATCCGGTTACACCGTCACAGTCCTCTGAAACGTGCCTTATTCACCTTTTTTTTTCGTACTTCAATTTGCAGCCTGTTTCGAGGTCCGTACCTCCTGGTGTGAAAGGTTTTTTATTGGAGGCGGAGGAAATTATAGCGGAGGTATGCTCATAAGCAGAGGAAGAATGTTAATGCTTTGCTGTTTCGATCTTATCGTCGGCGCAAAAAGTCTTACAGTATTTTTTTTTTCATTGTTTGAATTTTTATGCCTTTTCAATTGTAGAGGCTTGATTGTTAATGACTCAATTATTAATTTTCTTCCTTTCTACTACTATTTCCCATTTTAAATTTCATTGAAGCCACTTTATTTTTCCTTTGAATTGATCATTATTTGGTATACGTCGTTGGATTACTGGATTACAGTCTCGACCTTTTCTCCTCCGTTAATGGATGGATTTCCTTTTCTTATCATCTCTTTTTTGAAGGAGGTGGGGTGGGATGTTTGGGCGAACTGGTACTTGGCAACAACAATTTCTTTTGACTTATCCGCCGAGTGCAACAAGGTAAATCCGCTTCCTGCGGCCGAGGCCGACGTGTCCAACCTGTGAGTAGGAGAACAAGTCAGAGGCTCCGGGTATTATCCCAGAGGCGGAGTCTCTGATGGTGAAGTTAGTCAAGCGTGTATGAGGGGTTGGACGAGGTCCGAGGTGAGAGCTCAGACGAAGTCACTCGAGAGCAAGAAATGAAGAGCAGCAAGATGGCCTCACCAAGAGAGGGGCACCCCTATTTTTACTTGACCTTGCCTTGGGAGTGGTTGAAGGTGGTTGGCGATGGGCGGCCAGGATTACATTCGGACGATGCCACGTGGCATCATCCCAGGTCTTGCCACATGYGCCTACATCAGAAATTATCAGGAACTAGATGCTTACTATGAGAGGACTGTGACACGAATTCTGGGTTTGGTGAGGTTGCCTGTAGTGCTTAGATGGATTTTTACCTGTATAGATATGGCGGTACCATGGACTTGATTAGATACACGAGTTCTGTACGAGCATAGACTGAAGGCTTGCAGGGCATTGATCAAAGAGGAAACGTGATTGATGGGGCTGTTATGTAGCTTAATGAAAACCGTGCAGTAAATCTAGCTTTTATCAGTCTGCATTGGATGTTTTTGCTTCTGAATTAAGAGACGGTCTGGAAGGTCTGTTAAACACAAGGAAGTTCCTTTTGTGGAGCAAGATATGTTTATGAAGCACAAGAGCCTTGTGGTTTCAACATGACATTTTGTAAGAAGATATGGAATCACTGAAAATGCCAAAAGTTAAGTCCATATCCAGTTCAACCCTTACAAGGCCTGGGATAGCTTGGACTTTTGGGTAATTGCTATTATGTGGGAACTACTAATTGCTCAAAGCAGAAAAGACAAAAAGATACATGGTGGGGGTGGGAAGGCTATATTGGGGTTGTGTGCTTTTACAATTACTTTTCTAAAGATTTTTTATCCATTTAATCTAATGAGTGCTAGTGCCATGGTGGGTCATCTTATGAATGTAGGAAGTTGGGCCATTAAAGTAGCTGAAGGTGAGACACTTTCCAAATGAAACGGTAAATGAGTAACAGAATATTTTGGGTTTAAAGTGGACTGATGGATATAAAATAGAGAATACTGAAATGAATGCAGTGGATAATCCCCTACTTTATGTTTATGTTGCTAAAATTTCTTGTTGATGAAATGCCTTAGGATGATTACTCTATTACGTGGAGCTCATTGCCCCCTGGCATATGTATACTATTTTCTAATTCTTAGGAGATAACTAAATGATTTAAATAAGAAGTTCTTTTATGCCTTCCTTTCAAGTGTTGTTACATCATTTTGATTTTGGAGTATGATTCCAGGGCTACGGTGTTGTTCTCGTGAATACTGATGAGGCAGGCACCTTGTTTGTTACCAATTTTCGCCTTATTTTTTTGGTAAGTTTCTAAACCACATTAATGATTCCTTTTCATATTAACTTTTTTTTTGGCATATAAACAAGTTTAAAATCATGCTATCAGGTTTTGTGTTGTAGTGTTTCTTGTTGTTGCCTTTCAAAATCTATAAGGAAGAGGCTTCCACTATTCTGTACAGTCTATAACCTGCTTATTGTTGGTTAGTTTGGAAAACTCTAATGCTAGTACAATTACCTTCTGAAGTTTAGTTGCCAGAGTGACTTAATTTGCAAAACCAAAGAGACCCATTGCAAACTTGTCATTGATACATTATTGTCGTATAGGAAAAATGAAATACAACATTGCATACAACATAAGACAAGGTGTCTGGCTAACTCATTCCTTGCCTAAGAAGGCACAGGAAATGTATGTTTTATGCAAAAAAAAAGGTGTTATGAGCACACTCCAGAAAAAGCCTTGTTGCATAGGCACTTCTTAGGTACATTATTATCATAGAGCAAAAATAAAATACAACATTGCATACAACATAAGACAAGGTGTCTGGCTAACTTGTTCCTTGCGTATGAAGGCACAGGAAATGTATGTTTTAATGCGAAAAAAAAAAGGTGTTATGGGCATAGGCACTGCTTAGGCAATGCAAGGAACAAGTTAACCATATAGTATATACTAGCATATTTTTTCATAGTTATTTGCTTGGATTCTTTCTCCAATACTTCCTTGCTTGGATTCAATGTGTTGTTGACTTGTGGATAAGGAAACAGAATGGAATGGCAAAACAGGATCATGTAGCTGATCCCATATAGTTGGTATAAGGCTTGGTTGATGATGATGCTATTGATTGATTGTTTTGCTCATTGGATTCTTGTTATATAAAAATTCATAATCTTAAGCACGTCTTACTACTTTGCTAAATGAAATTGATTATCTTATAAAAATTCATAATTTCAATACAAAATAATAATAAGTTGAAAATATGACACATTGAACATGGGTCATCCCTAATAAACTATAGGTCTTATATTTGTCTAAAAAAATAAAAAAAAACTACCTAACTGGCCCTAGGTGCCCGCTTAAGCAATTAGGCAACAAGGTGACACCCTTTTGCATAGTTAGGGCTAGCAATTTTGACCCCAACCCACTTGACCCACCCAACCCACCCACTTGATAATCCATCCAAACCCACCCATTTGAATAGTGGGTCAAGATGAATCAAATGACCCATAAGGGTCAGGAAAAAAGGGTTAGGGTTGATTGGGTCAAGGGTTACCCATTAACCCTCTCATTGGGTTGGATTTATTCTCCTGAAACCCTCCCTCTCCCTCTCTTTCTCTTTCATGTCGCTGCTGTCGGTCACCCCTCTCTTCCTCTCTCATGTTGCCGGTCACCCCTCCCTGCCCTTGCCTTTCTCTCGCTCAGATCTCTGTGTGAAGCCAACCACCACACACTTTCTCTCTCTCTCTCAATTTCGCCGATCCCCCTTCTCTTCTCTCGCCCAGATCTTCGATTAAAGCCAATTACTGCACCGATTTCTCAGATCTATTCGCCCATATCTTCGATCAAAGCCGATTGCCACACCGATTTCTCAGATCTATGGAAGGTGGACATCACACCATCGCTTTCTCTCAGATCTTGAAGATGGCTGCTTCACTGACTCCTCAGATCTATGGAAGGTAGACACCGCACTAGGCATCACCCCTCTCTCTGTGTCAGATGTTGAAGTTGGTTGCCGCACCACCACCACCACCCTCTCTCTTTACCACTCAAACCTCCGATTTGAATTGGCAAACACACCACCACTCTCTCTTCCTCACTCAAATCTCCAGATTGAAGATTCGAATCTTGGAGCCCGACTTTTGGAGTAATACATTGTGTTTCAGCTTGATATTGTCATTATTTCAAGGTAATGTGATAAAAAATCAATTACCGAAGCGGAAACAATGTAAAATTTTCATTTTACATGAAAAAAAATTTGATTTTTTACATTGGCACAATCTAATAGTATATTATCCAATGACAAAATGCCATGAAAAAACTTTTGATTTTTTCTAATATGAATTTTTTGCAGTTTCTGATTTTTTCCAAAATATTTTTTTTTGAAAAATTTATCATTTTCTTGTTTTTCTGCATTTCTTTTACCTTTTTTGCTATAATATATAGATTTTTGAATATTCTATCATTTTATGTATTTTTGCAGTTTCTGTTTTTATCCAGATTTTATATATTTTTTTGAATTTTTTGTCTTTTCCAGTGTACTTGTATTTTTTTTTTTTGCAATTTCTGATGTTTATCATTTTTCTGTGTTTTTATGTATTTTATATTTGAAAATATTTTTGAACTTTTTATCTTTTTTCACATCCTTTTAGTTGAAATATATATGTGTGTATTTACATTTTTCTGTAACTTTTTGCAAATTTTTATATTTTCTGATTTTTAATAATTTCCCTGTATTTTTTTGCAATTTCTGGTGTTTTACATGAAATATATATTATTTACCATTTTCTGTGTTTTTATAGGTTTTTATTTTTTATTTGAAAAATTGAAACTTTTTATATTCATTTATTCTATGTTTTTATGCAATTAAAATAGAGAAAATAAAAAAAAAATCTACTTTAAATTAGAGGGTCAAATGGGTGGTTTAGGGTGGGTCAGGGTCAGAGTGGGTTGTGACCCACTCTGACCCACCGACATGGGTGGCAAATGGGTTAGCGGGTCAATATGGGTGGGTTGGTACTCAACCCACACCCAACCCAACCCAACCCACCCATTTGCCACCCCTATGCATAGTTTTTGATTGCTGCCTTGATAACTACTTATTAGTGACTATTTGCTCAATTTGACTGTAGATTCAACTTAACCTGTCAGACTTTTTTGTGGTTGTACTAATTTTCAGATGTTCAATAACACCCAACATTCTAAGATTACTGGTCTTGTTGCTTAGAAGCTTCAAGGGCCACGAGAATTGTACTGAATTTGTTATGTTTGGATCCTTGAACATGGTTGCAGCACTAATTTCTCATGGATCTAGTTGAGTTTCAGCATCAATTTCAGTCATCATCATTATTTATAATATGTGTATGTACATTTATTTATTACTATGTTTCTTTTTTTGCACATGTTGATATTAATTGCGAAATTTTGTAGAGTGAGGGCACTAGGAAAATAATTGCACTTGGCACAATACCATTGGCAACAATTGAGAAGTTCAGCAAGCTTGTAAGTTTGTTATTATGATATCAATGTCATTAGTGATCTTTATATTGTCATCTTTGTACTATTTGTTAATTTATTAAATCCTTTTAGTTAGGGTTTAAAGTGTTGTGTCAGTGGAGATGTTGGTCGTCCAAATATAGGAAACATGTTGGAAATGTCAGAAAAACACTTTTCATACTTAAAACAATGCCATAGTAGGAAATTAATAGGGGAGCAGAGTATGTTTTGGAGGGTGGCAAAGATAGAAGCTACGATTTTTATCTTCGAAAAAAGGTGGATTAAAAAGAAGAGTTTTCTAGGACTTAAGGAGTGTAAGAAGTCGATGTTGTTCTTGGCAGTAGAAGCAGTCAGTTGGTTTTTGAGATATTTAAATTCAGCTTTTAGCTCACAGAGAATTAGTGATTGGAAAGACGCTTTGGAGTTGTAGGAAGTATGTTGCAGAAAGGAGAGCAAATAGAAATGGAAGTTTTATTGCTCCCTTCGGACACTTTGGAATTAGAAGAAAACACTTGGTGTTTTCTAGAAGGAACAAAAGGTAAAGGGTGGAAGGAAGCAGAAATCTTCTTCAAAGGTTCCTGGAAAACAGGGATGAGATGCAGCAAGAAACAGAGGAGCTAACAGCCAGAAACAGTGATAAAGCAAGTTACTTGGATAGAGATTTCAGTGTGACTGAGGAAGAAAAGGTGTTGGCTGCAAGATTGAGAACGGAAGGGAAACTGGTTTTCAATCAGTCGAAGGAAACTGGGGGAAAAATGGTGGTGGAAGCCAAGCATGAAGTTGATGATTGGAATAAAATAGTAGGCGATATGAAAGGTTCAATGATTCTAACCCTGGTTGAAAATTGCAAAGATCTAATAGCTCTGTTGGAGGATGATCTGAAGTTGGATGTGGTAGCAACTTCAATCCTCAATCCACTCAAGAGCTGGTTCACTCTTGTTATCAAAACAGTGCCCAAGTTCTAATAAGGAAGATTCGATGATCTCGGATGAAGTGATCATGAGAATTCTAGGCTTGCCGTTTCATCTGTGGAGAAAAGAATGTTTTGAATCTATTGCAGCCATATGTGCTAGCTGATTATCAGGATTATTCATACAAGATTTTTGCTCTGTGGAAATTTTGTTGGACGGAGTGAAACCAGAAGAGGTTCCTAGAAAGTTAGAGCCTTTTTCTGATGGAAGATGGTTTTCAGTGTGGCTTCTGACCTCCATGGAAGCTGGGCTGTTGAAGGAAGGTTGTAGGGAGGAAGATGAGAGTTTGGAGTATGAAGTTCGATGTGGCAGGCAGATGTTGATGGATTCAAATGAGAATAGCTGTTTCCTGGAGATGGAAGGTCAAGGTTTGGGGCTAACAAAAGAGGAACATGCAGTTGCCTTAAATGAGAGTAGTAAATAATAGGGGACGGGAGGAGACACTGGGAAATACTTTGATACAAGCAACAAAGTAATATTGGAGACGCTGCCTCGAAGATTGGGGAGCAGATAAGGATTGAAGAAGATAGGTCGGGGACTGCTGAACCTCTGCAGGTGAACTGGTTCAACCTGGAAGGTCAAACTGGGGCATGTGACACTTAATGTTGTCGCGTGCAAGGCCTAAAAGGGAAAGAGGGCTGTCAGGCCCAGTTTGAAATTGGACGAGGGGCTGACCCAAACTTGGAACCAGCTGTGTTTTTCTTGAGCTCTGAGAATGAAGATGAAGGAAACCAATAAAGATACAGGGATGTAAAGAAGATTATGGAGCTATTTTACTGAATTCAGAGGGTTTTGTTTGGGTTAGAACTAAGTTTCTTTGTGAAGAGGATGTCTCGTATTCAAAAGAAAACAGTGAAGAATCTCATTCAGGGAAAGGGGAAGTGGTGGTGGATGGTTGGTTTAAGGAAGGTAAACTAGTGATCGTTTAGGAATGAGTTGAAAGGGTTTCTCGAGAAAACATCTGTTTCTGGGGAGCTCTTGAATGACAGACTGAAAGGATCTTCAGATGGTAGAGAACAGGTTGAGATAGTTGAAGATTTTCAGCTTGATGCTGAAATCTTTTTTCAAGATGGAATTGAAGAGGAAGTGTTGGAGATATAAAAAGGTGGAGGAGAGTGCTTGACAAAGCAGAAGTCAGAAAGTACTGGAGGGGATAGGGAGGCAAGAGACAAGGAGAAGGGATTGAAGGAGACAACATCAAATTTAATTGGGATAGAGATTACGGAGGGGCAAAGGTGTGAATGAAAGACTTGTGGGGAAATGGAGGAGAGAATGGGCTGGGGAAAAGAAGGGGAAGGGAGTGAAGAAGGAATAACTTCAGGTGGTAAGGAGACTGGTGGGTTGAAGGTTTATGAAAGAAAGAGGATGTATAGAACTAAACCTTTGCAAGACAAAGAGATGGGGGAGGAAGAAGATGAAAAGGGGGATCCAAGTGAAGATGAAATTCTGATGGATGAGACCCATGAAGTAGCAAAATCAGCTGATCTGGAGATGGTGGTGGAAAAGAAGTAGAGGTGAGGAATTTGCAAGAAAAACCTTTAGAGAAGTGGGAGAAAACTCATGTATGCAGGAGGATACTAAAACAGAATTTCAGATGGGTGGGGAGAAGGGGAATCCCTGTGCAAGCAGAATTGGTGTTGATGAAGGTAGGTTCATGGTTGGGAAGACTCTCATTAGTGGTAGAAAGCCTGAGGAGACAGATCAACTGTTTGGAAAAATTGTGGTGTTGGAGTTAGAGAGGATAGCTTCCGAGCAAAAGGAATTATGAATTATTGAAAAGGTTTCTACTGCCACTAGAAGGTTGAGAAGACAGAAGCTGCAAAGAACAGTGCAGGTTTCAAAGGTGTTCACCAGATTGAAGGGGAGCTTATTTGGATTGGGACTGGTAAAGAGGGTGAAGAAAACAAAGAAAAGTTTGAAGAAAAGCGAGAAGGTCTCCTTCCTTAAGGATGGGACAAATCTGTAGTAGGAGGGTGGGGTGATCCTAGTAAGTTTTGAAAGAGGGCGGTCTTTTTTAGGTTGGGATATTGTTTTGTTTTGATGGGTGGTATTTATGAAGTTGGGCAGTGTTTTGATTCTTTGTTTTTTTTTTGATCCTTGTTGTAGGGGTGGGAGATAGTTTTTTGCTGTTGGCTTTTGTAAGGTTTGGTGGGGGAGTTCTTCTTTCACTTGTGGTTAGTGTTTTTTTTTTTTAGCGCATTGGGACTGGGTGATGTCTTATCACCTCTATTGTACCTTCTCTCTCTCTCTCTCCCTCTCCCTCCTTGAATAAAATTTTATTTTTCTTTATCTTCAAAAAATATTGTAAAATATGGAATGATATTTTATGAAATGATAAAAGAAGCGTAGGCACACCTTTTTAAATTATTATCTTGTTCCAAATCATTAAACAAAGTTAAGAAACTACGGTTATAGACAAAAGAATACATTCTGAAGTTGTCCTGTATACCGTAAGATTCAAAACTAAATGATAGAATGGGTTAAAGCAAAATTTGAACTCATAGAAAATGTAAATGGTTCTAATTGATCAATCAAATAATCTATTACACAAACAAAAAGTAATTTTTAACTTCATGTTTGAAATGAATATTGAGCTGGCCCAAAGTGGTAATCATGTAATTTAGGTGGGTAATAACATTGCTACTACTTTAATTATCTACAATATTGTCACCAACTTATGTTATAATGCTATCTCTTGCACTCTGCATAGTGCTGGTAGTGTTCACTGGGGGATATGTTGATTCCAGTAAAATTTCGTATTGCTGCCCATGGAAATGGAATTATGTCGTGGAAATATCAGGGAATTCAAGGACAAGCTCAGAACTGTGGTTGTATGTAATGGGCACATCCTGTGTGCATCTTTCTATTTCCAGAATTTGCTTGCGTATTGTTGTTGTTGTTGTTGTTTGTTTTTTTTTTTTTTGTTTTTAAATCTGTCAATCTTTATCTATATATTCCATATTTATATAGTTCTTGGATGTTCTATATAATTTGCTACTGATAGGTCCTGAAGCTTCCCTCTGCCCCTCATCAATCTGATAAAACTCCATCACGTCGACTTCTCCAGGTTGTTGGTATGTCAATAGAGCAGTTACTTTGGTTAATCTACGTATGATCTTTATTTCATTAACTTATTAAATTGGTCATATGAATGGTTTCCATGCCATGCTTGTATCCTAGTATTGTTCATTTTTCTTGGTTGGATGTAGCTAGTTTTAAATTTGTGGCTTGGTATACTGAGCTAATAGCAACATCATGCTATAGGTTTTGTATCTCTTTGTTGATAAGTGTCCAAAAATTGCATGAATTTTTAACATTCTGTGTTGCAACTTTTAGTAATTCCACACTGTACCATTGATCTTTTTGCGTTTTAATGGAAGAATGGTAAAGTAATGCTTTTATAAATTTTTCAAGGAATGTGCAAAAAAGAAACTACAAAGATCCATATACAATGTGTGGAGAAGATACTACCCCCTTATTATACACCCCATAACTCAATAAACAACTTTTTTTGATCAGTGAAAGGAAATTCCCTTAATATAAACAGAATTACAGAAATTACAGCTTACGAGTAGCCTCGGCTACCCCATTATAATTAACATGTTAACTATCAGAGTGATTTTTCATTCTTACAACGGAGCCCAAAAACATTGATCCCTATTTACCCCTTGTTTAGCTAGCTGGTCTGCAAATCCATTTGCTGCTCTTGGGGTCCACTGAATTGATAATTGCATGTTCTTGAATTAGCTTTTAATCTTTTTGATGTCATTCCTGAATAGCCAGGGTATTCTTTCATTTTGCTTTAGCCAACTGATAATCACTTTGGAATCACCTTCCACAACCAGCTTTCTCACCCCCCATCTCCTTAGCTTTTTGTATCCCATAAACTACTGCTTTCAGTTCAGCTGTAGTGGAATTTTCCATTCCGATGGGGCCTGAAAACAATCCCATCATAACTCGATAAATAACATCAATTGAAAAGAAAGAAAATGTGGAGCTTCTATAATGACCCATGTCTCTGAGAGCTGAAAGTGAACCAAAGCTATAGCCCTTCTCAAAATCTTTCTTGGGACTATTTCTTGTAAAATATTTGCACATTTCTTTCCTTCCAGATAGCTCAGATTATTGCATCCGGGGTGGAATTCCATGATGTCTTTCTCCTCTTGCTAAGACCTATAATCTGCCAACAAATCAAGGCTTCATAGAACATTTTGGGGAAGCACCAACTGATATCAAGGGTTCTAAGAAAATGGAGCCAAATCAATGAACTGATTTGGCAATGGAGAAATAGATGATCTACCATTTCCAATCCCCAGATGCACAAAGTGGGATGGCAGTTGGGAGATCCATTACCTCTATTCAACAAATTGTCTCTAGTCAGACATTTCTCCAAGACAGCAGTCCTTACCATGAATGCTGTCTTGGAAGGGACCTGGATGTTCCAGTATTCCATACTTCTACTTGTAGGGAAAAGAGCTGCTTACTGAATTAGCCAAGTGTTTTTGGAAGGAACTGACTGGGAACAGACCCGAAGTAGCCCATTTCCAACTTTGCTGGTTCAGAATATACCTGCTCTAGGGAGGACCTTGCACAGCTCAGCTAGGAGGTCAATCACTACATGAATCTCCCAGTCTTGCAGGTTTCTTTGGGGTCCAAATAGTATGCTCTCTCATCCAATAGGTGCAAGTTGGCTATCTAATTTGAAGAATTTACACTGTATTGAGAGCCCTGGCTTTTAGGCTGGGCCCATTCATTTTTTTTTGATCAGCAAGAAACTTAAGATTTTATCAAATGATGTTAACTCTGGTTATTACAAAGGAAGCAGTTCCACTCCCCACAGATTACAACTGTTACACCAGCGACCAAAACAGCTGTTGTTTATATACCCCTTGTTTTGCTAGAGTTTTGTTCATCTCATTTGCAGTCCTTCTTACCCAATTGAAAGTGATGTTCAGTTCTTGTGTAATGCTTTCTATTTCCCTAAATTCATGCCTATAGATCCAAGGCATGAGCTTTTTATTCCTAGCCCAAGAAATGATCAACTTTGAATCTCCCTCTACTTCCAAGTGCAGAAAATTTGATTGTTTAGCAAGCTTTAAACCTTGCAACAGCACCATCAGTTCATATCTCAAAGAGTCTCCCAACCCCATGGATGACCCATTAAAATTTTAACAAATTCCAAATCCAAGCCTGCCCAAGTTGCACCCCTACCACCCAATCAAAATTTTGAGCAATAACTCCCTCCTAATCTATTGTAACCATGGTTTTCAATATTGATGATATATCCCCGAAATGTTCCCATTTTCTAGGCAGTGATGTGAAACCTTATGGGAATCTTTTTTTTTCAAGTATCCTCGATATTTTGCTGATATGTCGGGGATATTTCAAATTCCATCGATAAACTATATATTTACAATTAAAATTTTTAGAATATTATTAAAAACTTTTCAACATTTTATTAAAATCATCATAATTTTTTAAAAATATTTTCCTAAAAGAACCAACACGGAATTGGTGATTGTATAACTGGATTACTACTTAGATATGATTCACTTACTAGGTCACTTTAATTCAGAAGAAAAAGAAAAAAATGGAGTATTCTCAATCTAATCAAAACATATAGTATCAATAAAGACAAAAATTAAAATGTCAAATAATTGACATGTCTAAAGAAAAGAAGATGGCTAAAGGCCAAAAGGGAGAGAGAAATATACCAATTATAGTCTCTTAATTTTTCTTATTTGACTTATGTAGTTTTTTCTATGTTTTGAGTCTTAAATGTGTAATATATTTCTTATAATGATTTGTTGAAGGTTTATTAACTAATTCAATTTTCTAGAAAACTTTTCTGATTTTTTAGATTTTCCAATATCTTAGTGAAATTAACAAAATATCTCCAAAATTTCTCCAACTCTACATGGTGTAATGTTCATCGATATCGAAATTACGAACCATGATTGTAACTGCATATAGGTTTGGGCAGAGGTCCTTGAGGGCTCTGTTTTCACACCAAGAGTCCATAAGAAAGGACCTCTATTTCCATTACCTAACTTGTAAGCTGCCCCTTGTTAAATGTATCATATACTCTTTCTATTCCATAACACAATTAGCAGCTAAAAGGTAATGGTGTCTGTCCTGGATTCTAGCCCCCATTTTTTGTTCCAAATTTAGCCTCAATCAGATGCTTCCAGCTACTTTCCACATTCACGTTATACTGCCAATGCCACTTCAAATGAATTTCAGATTCATATCCTTAACTTCACAAAAACCAAGACCACCATTATCACCAATCGTTATTCCAAACCACTAAATGGAAATTATATTCATTCTTCCAATCCTTGCATAAGAAATGCCTTAGTCTTTTTCTTAACTTGTTAGCCACCTTGGTGGGATGGGGAACAAAGAAAGAGAATACAAGGGGAAGTTAAATAGAGTGCTTTTTGTTAGAGTCATTTCCCCTACCTTAGATAAATAATTTGATTTCTAGGAAGACAATCTTCTTTCTAATGGTCAATCATGGGGTTCCAAATTGTTACTTAAATTGCTATCCATCAATCTTCTTCTTTTGTTTGTTAGTGTTCTTCTAGGAAAAGGAATTCTATTTACCAAGCATGGTCATCTGAACTTGAAGCCTATACTGATGCTGATTGGGCTGAAAATATTGATGATAGAAGATCTACTTTAGGGTATTGCAGTCTGGTGGCTGGTAATGTTGTCTCTTGGAGGAGTAAGAAACAGTCAGTTGTGGCCCGATCCTCCGCAGAAGTAGAGTATAGAGCCATGGCACATGGAGTCTCGGAATTGTTGTGGCTAAGGTCCTTAATGGAAGAACTTGGGATTGATCATGACAAACCCATGATGTTGTACTGTGATAATCAGGCTGTCATCAACATTGCTCACAACCCGGTACAACATGATAGAACCAAACATATTGAGGTTGATAGACACTTTATTCGAGAAAGAGTCTTCTCCGGTGAAGTGTGTCTTCCATTCATTACTTCTGAAAGACAATTGGCAGATTTCCTCACCAAGGGCATTTCCAAGGCAAGGCTTCAACATGACACTGGCAAGCTGGGCATGATTAGCATCTATGCTCAGCTTGAGGGGGAGTGTAGAGGAGATGGGCCGAATGGCCCATAGACTGTCATTTCATGTTATGTTATGTTTCCCTCTGTAATGGGCCTTATTCTGGGCCCATGCTCTGTAATGTTCTGTTTTTGTATTTTCTTGCCCACTCAAGGGCCTCTCTGTAATATTTCAAAGATTAACTTCTTAATAAAATGTTTAGAGTGTTAGAGGGAGGTTAAGTTCGAACCTCTCACTCTCTAACTCTCATTGCCGCCAGCTCTCTCTCTCTTCTTCCTCTTAATCATCTCTTGTTTGTTTATTTTTTGGTTTGCATCTAATCTCAAGCAGTTCCATACATCAAGGGGACTGTTTTTCATCTGTTGACTTATAACTTTGAGGCTTTATCTTCTCTATCCTTAATGAGATGGGTAACCAACTACTGTTCCTGATTGGAGTTTTGAGATTTCAATTTCTTAACTTTCTTGAGGTTCTTAATGTGTAAATCATGTGATACATGAAAGGGTTTGGGAGGCTCCTCCTCTCACCCAGGTGTGAGAATTTTAGGCTCCCTTTCTTATATTTATTCTCCTCTTGTAGTCCTTTCTTTCTTTCTTTTTCCCCTTTTTTGTTAAACATGCTTTATTGTCAATAAGAAAAAGAAAGGGTTTGGATTGTAGGAACCAATGATGTTTGAAAAGTAGAAAGTTAGAGGAGGGGAGAAAGAAGGGAGTGTTGAAGTGCAAAACCAGAGGGTTGAGAGTGGAAAGAATATGAAAAGTTGGTTGGAGGAAGAAGACGATGTGCAAACAGGGCTAGGGGCAAAGTTGTAATGTTGGGAGGGATGGTGAAGATGAAGTGGCTTTAGAGAAATACGTGGGGGGAGGTCTTGTTAAAGGGCTGAAGTGGAAAAGGTGAAGGAGATAATGAGGTCTTAGGACTAGTTGAAGAAGTTTTGAGCTTCGAACAGGAGAAGAGGAGGAACTTAAGTCCTTAGAGAAGAGAAAAA